TCCCCAATTGATTTGCAGTCCTTCTTCTGAAGTTCCTGTGCCTGGTCCTGGCCCAGTGGCCTGGACAGCTGTTCTCTGGAGACCCAGCTTTGATAGCTGTGGCTGTTTCACTGTTGCTTCTCATTGTCGGAGTGGTCATTGTCATCTGGAGACAGCCTCAGAGCACCGCTCCTCTCCACTTCAAGGTGAGTGACTTCCTTTTCTCAGGGAAGCCACCCTAAGAGAGTGGTCATGCACGTTCTAAGCATGTTTCACATCACCAGGGAAGGAAGGGGCAGGGAACTGATAAAACCAATGGACAGGCAGGCAGGGCACGGTGGTCCTTGTTTGTCTTTAATCCCAGCACTCAGGTGACAGGGGCAGGGGGAATTGCCCAACTTCCCCCTTCTCTGCCCCAAGACAGGGTTTCTCTGTGTAGTCTAGTCTTAGCTCACAGAGATCACCACCTCTGCCTCCCTGAGTGCTGGGGTTAAAGGAGTGCACTAACTACTACTTTCTGGCTGGAATCTCTGATTTTGAGGCCAGCCAGGTCAGGTCAGCAGGAGCAACATAGTGATAGCCTGTCTCAGAAACAACCAATCCAATAAACAACTCCCTCCCAATATACCAATGGACAGAGCCAGATGTCACCATGGATGTATGATCCCAGATACTCAGGAGGCCGAGGCAGGAGGATCACACCTTAAAGTCCAGCATAGGCTGGAGCAACTTATAGGCCAGCTCAGGCAAGTTAGTGAAATTCTGTCTCAAAATAAAAATAATGCAGATATGTTGGTACATGTTTATACTTTTAATCCTAGGGAAGCAGAAGGAGGAAGATCAGGTGTTCAAATGAGTTTGAGATTGACCAGGCTTAGCTGCATGAGGTCCTGTCTCAAACAACCACCCACCCAACCAACCAAACAAAAATAAAACAGTCCCCTTCAACTCCCCCCCCCCCAACAAGAACAAAATCACCCCTCCCCAACCCAAACAAACTAAACCAAAAATCTAACCAAACCCAGAGTGCGTTTCACTCCTAAGTCTGGGAGACGTAACTCAGTGGCAGAGCACTTGCTTAATATGCACGAGGATCCGGATACAATCCCCAGTACTGAAAAAAAGGCTATGAGAATGTAGTCAGCTGGTGGAGCAATAGCCTAGAGTGCATGAAGCCTCGGGCTTAATCCTAGCACTGCAAAAACCAGGAGAGGTGGTGTATAACAGTAATTCCAGCACAGGGGAGCTGCGGATCAGAAGTTCAGGGTCCTCCTGACCCATACATTGAGTTCAAGTTCGGCCTGTGATATTTGAGACCCCATGTCCATGAAAGAAGACATCTGCTCTCAGGTGTGGTGGCATATATGTTTAATCCCAGCACTTGGGAGGCAGAGGCAGATAGATCTCTGAATTTGAGGCTAGCCTGGTGTACAGAGCAAGTTCCAGGATAGCCAGGGCTACACAGAGAAATCCTCTCTTGAGAAAATAAACCAAACCAACCAACCAACCAAACACAAAAAGAAGCCATTTTATTTGCTCAGAACTGCCAGCCCAGTGTTTCTCTGCTCAGTACCTGTGCCTCCTGGTACATCCATTCCATGGGGTCTCCAGTATGAGTAGGCACTGACCACAGAGCCTAGATACGGGCTGGATCTTCAGCTCTGGGGAGAGAGGGCTCAGGTGTCTGTGCACACAAGTGCTCACAGGCTGTGCTCACAGGTTCCAGCACTGCCTGTGCTCCCTGTGCTGAGTGTCTTTGTGAATGTCTACCTGATGATGCAAATGACTGTCGGGACCTGGATTCGCTTTGGAATCTGGATGGTGATTGGTGAGTGAGTAGCTTTCTGGGGAAGAGATTCCTGGTCAACTGGGTTCAACATTCCTCTCATTGCCTCTCTTTGAAACTGTCTGGGGTCACATGGAGAATCCCTGATGGGCATCCCGGTAGACGAGTGACCATTTCCACCTCACTGTCTCTGTTCCCTTTCAGGATTTGCTATCTACTTTGGATATGGGATCTGGCACAGCTTGGAAGAGAAGGATGACCAACAGCCAACAGCAACAGCCTCAAACTCCCAGACTCTCCAGGAACATACTCCCTGTGTTGAATTAGCTTAACTGCAGAAAGACCCCATGGGTGTCTATGTATGGTGGAGAGGCAGTACTGGCCATTGAACTTAGATCCTTGTGCATCTGAGGCAAGTCCTGCAGGTGTCTTCAGGTTGAGGAAAAGTTTGAATATTTGTGGGCTGCAGATGGGACTTTAAAGTTGCTATCTGTGAGCAAATTCCTTAACTTTTTTCCTTTGCACTGAAATGAATCCGTGGTTTTATGTATGCTAGGCAAGTGCTCTATCCATGAGCCACATCCCTAGCCCCTGTAGTTATTTAACAGACAATAAAGATTATATATTTGTGAGCAGCATATTACTTATATATTGTAGAAAGGCTAAATCAAGCTGATTAGTTCATCTGTTTCCCTTTTGTTTGGATGAGATCAGTCTTATATGGCCCAGGTCAGCCTTGAACTTGAGATCTTTTTTAATTACGATGTTGTTGGGTATTCACCAGAGAACACTGCTCAGGCATATAGAAAGTCTTTGTTGGCGACTACACTGGGTTGACCTACTTCATGCAGTTAACAAGAACAGCTAGCTAGAAGCAGAGCAGCAGAAGTGCGAAAGCAAGATTAGCACATTTAGAGACTTTCCCAGAACTATAGATTTTGAAGGATTGGATCTTTGTTTTCGTTTTTGGCAGGTGGTACTGTCTATGTGTTCTGTTTTACAGCCTGAATGGTACTTCCATCCCATAGTTGTGCTAGTCTGGGGCCCTGTTACCTTACTGACTGGTCTTAGTGAATGAGTCAAATCATGAACTCATTCTGTTCTAGTTTAAGATGTAGGGTCCCAACTGGGGCTGGGTGGGTGGGTGGTAGCACACACCTTTAATCCCAGCCCTAGAGAAGCAGAGGCCAACCTGGCCTACAGACTCAGTTCCAGGAGAGCCAAGGCTACACAGAGAAACCCTGTCTCCAACAAACCAAAACCAAAACAAAAAGGTAGAACCCCTGCTGTTAATCCAATGAGAATGAGAATTAAAGGCCCAGTCAGGGCTGATAGCAGAGAAGTAGACAGGGGGACCAAGAGAACACAGACTGGTACCAATTATTTTTGGTTGTGAGCCTAGCCTTTAACAGCTGAGCTATCCCTCCAGCCCTGGTACCAATTATTATCCCAACCATGGCAAGCTTTTTTTTTTTTTTTTTTCTAATGACTTTTGATCATTTAGCATGGAAAAAAGAGATTTTTTCCCAAAGCCATACATGGTTTTATTTTTATTTCATGAGAAGTCCAAGCCTCTCCCATTTGCAGGACCATGTCCGCAAGGGAATCTCACTGTTCTTTTAATTCAGAAATGGAAACTTTTAACACCTCTAGGTCCCGATCAAACAGTCTACTTAGTTTGGAAAATAGCAGAAAGCATCACATTTAGTCAAACCACTAGTACATTCACACCAAGTAGTCTCACGAGCTTGGCAATACTGGTATTATTCTAGAGGAATTACCCATAAGGCAGAATAGTAGGCATCAGAATTAGGGGAATTGCCTGGGGTAAAGGTTTTGGATATTAGACAAGTTTCAGCCCCTTGGAAGTCCTCTAACATTAATTTGTGCTGTCCCCAGTCACAGTGAGTTTTGTCAGTCAATCGGCTGACAGTCTGGTTGGTTCCTACCCCTGTGTAGTACAGGGAATGGGTATTTAACCAGCAATCCTGGCTGATTTTTTGGCTGGGAATTATTAACTCTATACCCAGGGTCCCTTCCTGTGGCACAGAGTTTGATTCTCCAGGTTTTTCCTGTTTTCCAGAACTTTTTTTTGTCTGTTTGTTTGTTTTTCAAGGCAGGGGTTTCTCTGTGTAACAGCTCTGACTGTCCTGGAACTCACTTTGTAGACCATTCACAAATGTGCCTGCCTCTACCTCCCAAGCGCTGGTATTAAAGGCGTGTACTACCACAGCCCAGCAGACCAGTAGCTTTTAAAGGAAGTTTTCAGGTGTCAGTTTTACAACCCTAATTTTTAAAAAACAGATTGTTTTTTTTTAAAAAAACTTATTAATTATTCTCTCATATATTACATCTGGACCACAGTTTCCCCTTCTCTCTCCTCCACATCCACTCCTCCATTTCCCTTGAGAAGTGAGCAGGCCTCCTAGGGATATCGGCTGAACACAGTTACGGTAAGGCTAGGCTGGATCTCTCAGGTTCAGTGAATAGCCTGCACAGAGAACTGGAGTGTCAGCAGTGACGTGAGAAAGGAATGGCCAGAGTTCTGCCAACTGCTGATCTGAGCTTGGGAAGCAGTGGGGGAGGTCTTCCAACCACAATCCCATGGGGTAAATCTCTCTCTGTATGGGGTGCAGCAGGCCAAAGCAAAGGAAGGAGACCCATCCATCTTTTTCTAGACTCTAGTGAGAGTTTTGTTAGAGTTTCTTTTAATGTCTTGTTTGTTTATTTTTAAAAACCTGGTCAGAATTCTGACATCTATATGCACAATGTAGTTTTTAAATCTATGTCCAAAGTTGCCAGGCAATGATGGTGCACACCTT